TCCTTTGTGATGTTTTGAGACTTGAAGTAAATCATTTATGTTTAATTATATATTTTTAGACTTCTATTGAAACCTTAAGAGTTAATGCAGTAATTGAGTTCCTATATTCTTCAGTAAGTGGTAACATCTCGCAAAATTGAATGAACTAGAAAGAGCTAGAATTAAAAAGAGTGATTTTTGGAAATAATAAAAATTTGGAAAATTGGTCAAGTTAAGTTAAGTTTGAATTTTTGGTCAACTTCAAACGACCATAACTCCTAGCTCATGATGAGTTAGGTGTGTTTCCAGATATCATAGGAAAGATCTTGGAACAACATTTTCAACGCCGCTGAGTTTGCATGATTTCGAGTTTGTATGAGTGCGTTATCACCATTGGAAGTTGGGTTGTCCAAATAAGGAAAGTCCAATCCAGATTTTAGAAGGGCATTATGGTATTTTCACCATCCAATTAATTAATTTCGTTTTTAGCAATTAAGTTGGGGTCTAAACTGAATTGGTTCAGTTTAGACAATTGGAAATTTACGCTAGGGTTTTTGGAGAATGAACGCAAGAGGAGAAAAGAGGAGAAAGAGCAAAGTTCGTCGTTCTTGAAGGTTTAGCTTGTGGATTTCGACAAGGGTTGATTCCTAAAGAGGTATGTGAGACTTTCATAGCGTTGGATTCATTCACCCACGCGCTAAACATGTTTATTTCAGCGAAATTCATTCTAGAAAGTTGAAAGTTGATGAATCTTGAATGGTGTTCTTAAAATTGGCCTTCGTTCTTGAGTTAAGTTGAGATTAAGGAGTTCCTTGAGGTTATAATGTTGTTTCCTTGAGTTTTTGAGTTAGAATCTTGTGTACATATACTGGGTATTTGAATCTAAAGAGGGATTGATAAAAAGAATCGGAATTAGGTAAATTGGGGTTATAAAACGAGAAAGAAAAATCGGACAAGGAACAGGTTCCAGGTCCGCGATGCGGACCTATTCCTTCTGTGTGAAAAGTTTCTCTCCGCGTCGCAGAGAGGTCGCGGACTCCTCTGTTTCAAAAATAAATTTCACGATCAAATATTTAAGTGCATCTCCGCATCGCGGACTTGCTTCCAAATAGTGATTTCTTGATCTTTTCTCATGATTAACTATCTAAAAACACTCATAAACATCATGAAATTTTTTCTATCACAAATCACAATCCTTGAATCCATAACTCAATACAAGGAAAGTTAAGAGTCAAGTCAAGAGAAGTTAAGAGCCAAGTCAAGAGAAGTTCATAGAGTCTTCCAAAATTCTTTTATAAATGTTTTATCTTTGTTTAAGACTTGAGTTTTGAGTTGAGTAAAGAGTAAAGTTTGAAGTTCATTTCTTCAAAAGTGTATATCGGGACTATGTATTCCCAAAGATTAAATTTTTCACATTTAAAGAAGAAAGGAAACCTTTATTTCCAAAAGAGCCTTTGAGCTAGTTTTCAGTTAAGAGTAAATGTTTTCACATTTAAAGAAGAAAGGAAACCTTGATTTCCAAAAGAGCCTTTGATCTAGTTTTCAGTTAAAGAGTAAATGTTTTCACATTTGAGCAAGAAAGGGAACATCGATTCCAAGAGAGCTTTTAAGCTAAGTTTTGAGTAACTATCCCAAACCAAAGAAAGAAGTTATGTTTTTAAACATATGAGCTAAGTATTTTGGGAGTAGTATTGAGCACCGATATGGGGACGTGTTTGAATTCAGATAACTCACGTCTCCATAAACCATGTAGACATCATGGGTAGTAAAGGATCATTCTTTTTAGATGAATACTTAAGTGATTTTTAGCATAGACTAGTGGATCCACTTAGTTAAGCGTTCTATATGATGGCAAAATATATGATAGTTCTGGAAGCGTAGGCAAGACGTTGTGTCACCACTTAGGCTCATAGTGGTGGTTATCGGTTGAGAAACTCCCACATAAATTATATAACTTTATTATATGAGTAAAGTTGAATTTGTCATTGCATTTCTTTAACGAACTGAGTTGCTTTCTGCTGTTTTAAAAAGCTTTCTTATATATTATATGTGTTTTATTGCTTTATATTGATTTAAGTTATTCATGAGTTGAGTAAAGCCAAGGTAAGTGTTTCTTTCATATTCTTTCCAAGCCTATGTTATGTTTAGCATTCTAACTCGCATACTCGTACATTCAATATACTGATGCCAGTTGGCCTGCATCATTTTATGATGCAGACTCAGGTAACCAGGGTCAGCATCCACCGCATCGTTGATCCAGTGGAGCACTCAGAGTTAGTTGGTGAGCCTCCTAGCTTTTCGGAGGATCCTTTTTATTGCTTTCAGTATTGTAGTTCATTAGGATGTCGTTGGTCTTGTCCCAACGTCCATCTCAGTTGTTTAGAGGCTTCATAGACATAGTTAGTTGATGTTACTTCATGAGTCTTTACTTTCCCTTTTCAGTTAAGTTGAGACTTGAGTTGCCACTTTGGCAGTGAATGTTATTTGTTACATTCTAAGTTATTTATTGAGCAGTTCTGTTATTCTTTTAAAGTATATTTATCTTGAGTAAAGTCTTCTGCTGAGTAAGTAAGTCAGGCCAAGGATTCGCTTAGGGCCATCAATGGTTCTCGAGTGCCAGTCCCGCCCAAGGTGTAGGCTCGGAGAATGACACAAGTCTTCCACTGATTAATGAGTCAGCCCAAGGGTTAGCTGGGGGACCAACATTGGTTCTCCCGTGTCGGCAACGTCTAGGGTATAGACTCGGGGAGTGACAATATGAATCTGAATACAACTCAAAATTTACTCCCAAATTAAAAACAATCGCATTCCATTAAAATGAACACCAACAAATACAAAGGAATATACAAAATGGGTCAAGATGCACACTAGCTATGACATTATCATCTTGAAGTTACTTCAAAAGAAACAAGATTATACAAATTAAAAGAAATATACAATAGAAGATGAGCACATAAAGTGAATTAACATGGAAAATAAACAATGCAACCAAATAAAAATTAATTCAACTGAATTCTGTAATGGAACAAAAAATTATATATACAATTCGGAACAAGAAATAATTAAGTTTCCTGTTATTTTTGTTCTTCTAAAATAAAAAATGGAAATTAAATTGTTGCTTCTAATAACTGCAATCAATACTTGATGTACCATATAGTTTCATTTTCTCACTGATAAAGAAAGGGTAAGTTCAAGATTGAGCTCCTCATTTTCTAGGTTATCCTCATTTGATTTTGGGAAATTGAATTTGGCTTTAAGGCCACGATACATCCTCGTCGCCTTAACATAAGTTGTTGCATCTTCTTCTTTTCTGTCAATGGTCCCAAGCCAGACACGTACTTTCTGATTTGTAATATCAGCTTTGTACTTACCCCATGGCATTTTCCTAACACCCCTATATCGAATCTCAGTTGGGGGTTACAACTATTGTCACTATAGCTACAATGCCATTTTCTCGGTTATCCTCATTTGACATCGGGAAATTAAGTTTGGCTTTAGCACCGTGATACATTCTCGTAGCCTTATCATAAGCCCTTGCGGGAAACTATTGTCACTGTAGCTAAAATGTTTACTCAAGTCAATAAAATAAGGAGATCCAAAATAAAGTTTTAAAGATTTTTTTTGGTGAAACACTAATCCATTTACAAATATTGGGTTCCATTTGCTTTTTGTATTTGATAGGTTAAAACTTAATAAGGTTTTGTTAAAAAAAATACAGGTTTTGTCAAATTACTAGTAATATTTTTTTAATGATAGAATATCTTGACTATGCACAAGTAGACTATGGTGTCACCTTCTTTCTTACTTATTTGTTTCAGTTGCAAAATGATTCTTATAATTAATTGAAAAGTTGCAAACTAGGATTGTTGAATTTTCAAAGGCCAGACATCAAGAAGGAGAAATATAAGTTTATGAAGAAGATCTCATTTCAGACATTTTTTTCATTGCATACTTCATTGTGAGTACTATAATTTTTTCAATTTTTTTTTGTGGTTAAAAGAGGTGAGTACTATAGTTATATAGTCTCGAAGTTAATATCCCAAAAGGTCACTCGACTTAAAATTTTATCTAACAAAGTCGTCAAACTTTGTTTTATATCGATAAAATTATTCAACTTAGACTTTTTTATCAATAAAATCACTCATCTAAATTTACGTTAAAAGAAAATCTAACCTAATAATTAAAATTTCTTTTTATGCCATATATAACTATTCACCCCATAAATAAATAAAATTTTAAGAAAATTAAATTTTCTTTTACGAAAAAGCTATATTAGTAAAATAAATATTTTCTATATATATATCATAATAGGTGATTTTCTGAATGAAAAAAACGGACCAATTGTTGTAGATTGGCGATTAATCAGGGGAATTATTGATATTATCAGTTGAAATTGTTGCAAATTTTAAGTTTTTAATTGCGTTAGTTTCACCAATAACGTGAACAAGGTCGAAAAACTATTCGTTTTAAATATAAAACAATTTTCATCTGTTCATTTCTTACCATATGAATTAAAATCTATCATATTTTTTTCCGTTAAAACTCCTTAATAAGTTTTTTATATTATTTTTATTTATTTGTGAAATTTATAATCATATGTCATAAAACAAATATTTATATGTCATATTAGATTTTTTAATGTAAAATTTAGTTTAGTGATTTTATTGATACAATAGCCAAAGTTAAGTGATTTTATTGAAACAAAACAAAGCTCAATGACTTATCTAGATAAATTTCCAAAAATTGAGTGATCTTATGAGATATTTAATTCGTTATTTTCGTGGTGACTTTAATAGTTGTTTGTTTAGTTAACTATATGACTATTCTAATATCAATCTACTATTAATTCGTTTGGTTTTGAAGATCTAAAATTCAATAAACATAAATAAGAGTTTGCTACTTTAAGATCAAACTGAAAGACAAATTACAATCTCAAAAAGTTGGACCATAAAAATTCACCGAATCATAATTCTATGTAGAAAAACAAAACACTGAAAAATGATACATCGAAGAAGACATAATTAAGTTTCTATATTATTAGCATTTTCGAGGTTATCCTCATTTATCGGAGGGAAATTAAGTTTGGCTTTAGGGCCGTGATACATCCTGGCCGCCGTATCAAAGGCCCTTGCAGCTTCTTCCTCTGTTTTCAAAGTACCAAGCCAGACTCGTACCTTCTTGATGGGGTTTGTAATCTCAGCTCCATATGTCCCCCATGGCCTCTTTCTCACACCTTTATACCGCACCTCGTTTGGTGGTACAGCCACCGCCGTCGCCGTCACATCGTCATTTTTTTCTTTGCCATTTGAAAAAACTAAAAGAATGTTTTGTATATAGAGAAGACTCTATGAGTTAAAAGACAAAGGAGAGAGTGGTTTATATAGCCATTTCTCAAAGACACATTTAATTTGGTCAACTAATTATTAATTATATTTGGAAAAATAATTGTTGAATTGTTGACTAAGATTATACTAATTTTGACTAGGGAAATTCTCTTAATGTCCACTAAGTTTGCATATCAAAAATAATATTTTCATTAATCATAAGTTCATACCCAATTAAAAAATACTCAAAGGTAAGTAAATTGCTAAAAAGGAAATTTATTAATTTAGTTACAACATCATCTTTTAGTCAAACAATAATTTTTTTTAAAATAAGTAGGGCAACATGTGGTGTAACCGTGTACCTTTGGGTCCTGCTTTAAATCAAAGTTCTATTATTTTTATTTTTCTCAAATTCCTGTTTAGATTATTAACAGATGACATAAATTAAATTTAATGGCTAAGATTTAATTGATTAAAATAAATCCTAAATTATAATTTATATAACATTATATGTAAGGAAAAAATAATCTCTCTTCCTTCTTTTTGTTTATCTTTCACACAGGATATTTTTGTTTCATTCTCATTTTATGTTATTATTTTATTGCATTTTTATTTTAAACTTTCTCTTTTTAACATTTATTGAATTTTAAATAACCATGGACATGGGCCATTATTTATTTATTTTAAAATACTTTATATTGATATAAATTAAAGAAGAATACCACATTATTCATTTTATTGATTCATAATGTCATGCCCCGAGCCTACACCCTGGGCAGGACTGACACTCGAGAACCATTGATGGCCCCCAAGCGAACCCTTGGTCTGGCTTACTTACTCAGCGGAAGACTTAAACATCACAAATACCTCAAATAAGGAACTTATGAAATAACTTAGAATGTCTTTAAAGAAAACATTCAAACTAGCCAAATTGGCTACTCAAGTCTCATAGCAAAACATCTTAAATACAAAAGCTAAAGGACTCATAACTAACTGTTTGACTGTCTATGAAGCCTCTAAAACAAAGAGGAATGTCAGTACAAGACCCCCGATCATCCTAACAACTAGAGGACTAAAATAAATGATAAAAACGAGTCCTCCCAATAGCAAGGAGGCTCACCAACCGACTCTGAGTACTCAACTGGATCAACGAGGCACTAGATGATGATCCTGGTCATAACAATAAAGCAGGCCAAATGGCGTCAGTACATTGTATGTACGAGTATGTGAGAGGAATACTAAAACATAACGTAAGCTTGAAAAGAATCTAAAAGGAACACTTACCTTGGCTTTGCTCAACTCATGAATAACTTAACTCCATATAAAGCAACAATACACATGCAATATATGGAAAGATTTTAAAACAGTAGGAAGCGACTCAATTTGTTAAAGAAATGCAATAACAACTCAACTTACTCATATAATAAAGTAATATAATATTGTGGGGGTTTCTCTAACCGACAACCACCACTATGAGCCTAAGTGGTGATACAGTGACTTCCCACGCTGCCAGAACTGTCCAATACTTTTCCGTCATATAGAACGCCTTAACTAAGTGGATTCACTAGTCTATGCTAAAAAGCACTAAGGACTCATCTAAAAAGTATGATATCTCTACCCATGATGGCTACATGGTTTATGGAGCTTTAGTTATTATAAACTCGCGTCCCCATATCGGTGCTCAATACTAATCCCAAAATGTACTTAGCTCATATGTTTTTTAAAAAGCTATTTCTTTGGTTTGAGATAATTACTCTAAACTTAGCTTAAAAGCTCTCTTGGAAATTGGTGTTTCCTTTCTTACTCAAATGTGAAAACATTACAACTCTTGGGAATACTTAGTTCCCGTATAATCTTTGAAGAAATGAACTTTTACTCTTATTCTTTAGTCAACTCAAAGCTTAAGTCTTAAAACAAAGTTAAAACGTTTGTAAAAGACTTTTGGAAAACTCTAAGAATTCGACGAATCTTGAACTTTCTTCTCCTTTCTCCTTTTTTCTCTTTTCTCCAAGCCCTAGAGTGAATTTCCAATTTTCTAAACTTATATAATTCTGAATAGACCCCAAATAAACTCCTAAAAATGAATTAAAATAATTGGATAAGGAAAAGACTAAATTACCCTTCCAAAATCCGGTTTAGACTTTCCTTATTTGAACAGCCCAACTTCAAATAGGCATATCTCACTCATACGAACTCGAAATCATGCAAACTTGGCGGCGTTGGAAAGATAATTCCAAGATATTTCCTACGGTATCTGGAATCACACCTAACTCATCTTGATATATGAGTTATGCTCATTTGAAGTTGACCCAAAACTCAAACTTAACATAACTTAACAAATTTCCAGATTTTCATTCTTTCCTAAAATGACTATTTCCAATTCTAACTCTTTTTAGCTCTTTCAAAAGATGAGGTATTACAATATATCCCCCTTGGGAACATTCGACCTCGAATGAGATTACTCTTACAAGGCTATGGGTGTAACATCAATCATTCAGTTCAAACACCCATCAAGCAAATCTAACAGATCAAGTATATAAATTATGGAGTACTAAGAAGAGAATTAGTACCTTGATCTGGAATTTCTCCGGGTTCAAAGAGAAGTGGATATCTCTTTTTCATATCTTCCTCAGCTTTCAAAGTAGCTTCCTCAACAAATTGGTTCCTCAAAAGAACTTTGACTGATGCTACCTCTTTTGTTCTCAACTTGCGAACTTGGCGATCTAGATTCTGAATAGGTATCTCCTCATAAGATACGCTATTCTTGATCCCAATATCTTCAGTTGATATAATCAACGAAGGATCGTCCATGCACTTCTTCAACATGGAGATATGAAATATCGGATGAACCGCGGCTAACTTTTTGTGGTAGCTCCAACTTATAAGCTACATTACCAACTCTTTTGGATATTCTGTAAGGTTCAATATACCGAGGACTAACCTTCCCCTTCTTACCAAATCTCATAACACCCTTCATGGGTGAAACTTTCAAGTATACCCAATCATCTACTTCAAACTCTAAATCCCTCCTCTTAACATCGGTGTAGGATTTCTGACGACTCTGCGCCGTTTTCAACCTCTATTGAATGACTTTCACCTTCTCCGTAGCTTGATGAACTAAGTCTGGTACTATCAACCCAGCTTCAGCAACTTCAAACCACCCAATAGGAGATCTGCATCTTCTTCCATAAAAAGCTTCATAAGGAGCTATTTGGATGCTAGAGTGGTAACTATTGTTGTAAGCAAATTCAATAAGAGGTAGGTGATCATCCCAATTACCTTTTAAATAAATCACACAAGCCCTCAACATATCCTCTAAGGTCTGAATAGTGTGCTCTGCTTGTCCATCTTTCTGAGGATAAAAGGCAGTACTTAAGTTCACCTTTGACCCAAGCCTTTTTGGAATGATGACTTCCAAAACTGTGCAGTAAATTGCATACCTCTGTCTGAAATAATGGAGACCGGAACCCCATGAAGTCTTCCCACCTCTTGAATATACAACTTATCGTAATCTTCTGTTGAATGGGTAGTCTTTACCGGCAAAAAGTGGGTTGATTTGGTCATTCTATCAACAATCACCCAAATCGAATCATGATGCCTGCGAGACCTTAGTAAACCAGTGATGAAGTCTATATTGATCATCTCCCAGTTCCATTTTGGAAGTTCTATATTTTGAGCCAAACCATCGGGCATTTGATTCTTTACTTTAATTTGTTGACAATTCGAACACTTAGCTACAAACTATGCAATGCCCTTCTTCATACTACTCCACCAATAGACTTCTCTCAAATCGCGATAAATATTTGTAGAACTTGGATGGCTAGAATATCTATAGCTATGAGCATCCTCCATAATTATCTCTTGGAGTTCATTCACCCTTGGTACAAACAATCTACCTTGATACCTCAATACACCTTATCCCTCTTGTTCAAAAGCCATTACTTTTGCTTATGAACATTTGCCTTCAATTCAAGCAAAAAAGGATCTTGGTCTTTCTTCTCTTTAACTTCAGATACTAATGATGATTCAGCCCCATTCATCACCAATACTTCTCCTTCTGTGGAATCCATTAGTCGAACTCCCAATCATGCAAGTCTATGCACCTCTCTCGCTAGCTCTTTCTTATCTTCCGCAAAATGGGCGGTACTACCCATAGACAACCTGCTCAAGGCATCAGCAACAACATTAGCCTTACATGGGTGGTAAAGAATACTCATGTCATAATCCTTGAGTAATTCTAACCACCTCCTTTGTCTGAGATTAAGCTCTTTCTGAGTAAACACATACTAAAGGCTCTTGTGAACGGTGAACACATCTACATGAACACCACAAAGATAATGGCGCCATATTTTCAAAGCAAATACTACGGCAACCAACTCTAGATCATAGGTTGGGTAGTT